AAAAAAAAAAAAAAAAAAAAAAAAAAAAAAAAAAACAATGGCTGTGAGCCTGTGACTAGATCTGGTCACAATCCCAGATAGCAACTGATGAAGGAAGACAGTGGAAAGAGGTGCAGGTACTCACGAGCAAGGGTGAGACTGCTCGCATAAACGACCATTTCGTCAAAATGGACATTTTTTATTTTTTGAACGAAATTGAAACTGAGTTTTTTGGCTGAAAACTCGTCAAAATTTGCTGTTCCTGAGGGTCCAGCGTCTTACAAACGCTGGACCCCCTGGCTGTACATGGACCTAGCTTGAGACCAGGCACCTCCAGGCAAGACTGCATAGTAGTTCAACTCAAATCACAGTCTCATGTTGTACTTCACACAGCAGTTACACAGACTCATGCCGCTGGTGTTGGTACCATGGGTGGGACTGTTCACACAAATGTACTTCACACAGTAGCTACACCTCAATCGCAGGCAGATTCATACTGCTGGTGCTATGGGTGGGTCTGCACACATATACACCACCCCCAACCCCCACTTCGGGGGCAACAAAAAAAGATAACCATTAAAAAAAAAAAAAAAAGAGGGGGAAAACCATGGTAACCCCGGACACCGGACACTTCCGGACTGTCTTCCAGACCAGACACTGTCCTCCGGACTGTCTTCCAGACCAGACACTGTCCTCCGGAGTGTCCGGCGATCCGGACATCAGCGGACCCGGACAGTCCGGACCGGTACCAGGGGTGCACAAATGTCCGGACCAAAAAAAAAAAAAAACGGGGGTGGGGTGGGGGTTGGTGGGCAGCGGTGTTGGCAGGCACTTACCTGCTCTGCCCTTTGTAGTTCAGGCAGCAGAGCACATGTCTTGCAGCAAATCAACAAGCACATTTAACTAGCAGACATGCAGAGTTGCTAACAGTGCAAAGCAGGCACAAGACTAAAGAAACAGAGAATTTATTTTTTGAAAAAAGTATGATTAACTTCGAACTTTGAACTTTGGATTTAGTCATTTCAGTTCATAACTTCATACACAACTTAAAAGTTCAAACTTTGCAGTTCAATTCAGAAAGTCAGAGTCTTCAGACTGGCAGCACTGTCAGTGCTCTCTCTCTCTCTCTCTCTCTCTCTCTCTCTCTCTCTCTCTCTCTCTCTCTCTCTCTCTCTC